ATTCGGCGCTGGAGGTGGTGGGCAGGCAGTGGAAGGGAAATGTTTGACTTGGGCTTGGGTTTGTTTGAATTCGTCGTGGATTCGGCAGGGCGGAGATAAGAAGGGAAGGATGAGAAGAAGGGAAGGGTGAGAAGATGAGAAGATGAGAAGGGAAGGATGAGAAGGATGATAAGAAGGATGGATGAGAATGATGGAATGAAGAATGCCAAATGGCATGGGAGAAGGGTGGATCAGAATGTTGTCTCTCAAGAGATGGCGTGGGAGAAGGGTAGATCAGAAGATCAGGTTTCACCATAGATCAGTTTCACTATACAAAGACATTGAATACTGAAATTTGAAAAAATGGAGCAGTTTCTGGAGGTAGTTGGTAAACTATATAAAAGGGGGGCGGATAGTTCAAATGAAAAATATCATTAGGGGGTGGTCAATATGGAAATTCAGGCTTTAAAGCGGGTAGAAAGCTGGGTAGACTATATAATAGGGCGGTTGGTGAACCCTATGTGAGCATTAAGTGAAAGCTGTCCACTGGATCCAGCAGTATATATCAGGCTTGAGCTGTGGAGTTGGAGATATCGCTGTTTCGGCGTCATTCGAGGTGTGGCTGGAGTGGTTGGCGACAGGGACCATTCGAGTGCCGACTAATGAGCTGGCACAGCCTCACGCCTGACTCGGGAAACTCTAAAACCATTTGCCTAAGCTTCTGTGAGTGAAAAAGTGTGAACTCTTGTGAGCCGTTGCACCACCGGCTGCGGGATGGGAGCGTTCAAAGACTTTGATTTCGATTCGACGTGGCCCACGCGCAGGTGGCCATGGTCAGCAAGAACACGCGGGATGCGGAGCTGGAGCGGTCTGAGGTTTTACGTATCCTCAACAACTTGCAGCTCTTTGAGCTTTCGCGTTTCCTTGAAAAGTCTGAGGGCACCGGCAAAGAACGCCTCAAGCAAATGAAGAAGACCTTGGCGTCGCCGGAGAAGCTAAAGCGAGCCAGTGCCAATGCTGTGCTCAAGCTGTCTTCTTCGCTGCAGTCTGGTGCTAACTGGGGATTCTCAGCTTGCACTTTGGTGTTGGTTCAGTTTCTGGGCTGGGCCATTGGCCTCACGGAGCTTGTGGCGGCAATGTGCCCACGCAATTCCAACTCTGATACGTTTCTTGGTAGTTAATGTTTTCCTGGAAATAGTAATATCCAATCAAGGCTGGGAGCTGCCTGTAGGCCGGAAACATTGCTGCGCAGTGATTGACACTTAAGAAGAGATTGAAAAAGAAACCAGAGCGTGGGCGTCAGGGCATCTCTCACCTTTCGAAAGGCTGAGGCATAGCGCTCATCAGGGTATTTTAAGGGATTGCTGATCTGATTTGTATGTGGCGTGTGCGATTTACTTAGGACTGGATGCCTACATTCCATCCAGGCGGTGCCTGCCTGGCCTGATGCCTTCACTGCCTGACGCTGATGCACCAGTTCTGACATTGCTGTCTGACGAGGGCTCCGACCAGAAGCTCTCCCACTTGTTCCTTGCATCGTGTGGCCTGCGCGTGAGGTTGGAGCGAGACTTCCTGCACCGGTTGGACAACAGCCAGAACAACGCTGTCTCAAAGGCAGGCTTTGGCGATGTGGTCGCCAAATGCGTTTTCCTGAGCCGAGTGAATCGAACGCCCTATCAGTCCGCAGCGAATTCACACGCGAAAGCTGAGATGTTGCTGCAGCTCAAACAGATTGGGGTGTCTGACGGTCGAGTGCTGAAGGACTATGAACGCTCTTTTCTCTTTGACCGCCAGCAAATACTTCCGCATGAGGAAAACCTGCAGGATGAGATGTTTGCGGGGACTGAGAGCATAGGCTTGAAGACTGAGGGGGATCCTTGACTCAGTTGGTGGTTTGTGTCTTTGTGTTTTTCATTGCCTTGTGGCTGGCAATTTAATTGCCATTGCTTTTTTGCTGTCATGTTCATCCATGCTCATGCTGAGATGGAGACAAAACGCTTCTTCAGTTTCCTGAAGCGGTGGAAGCGGCTAGACTCTAGCTGGTCCATGGAGTTGGCTTCACTCGACGTTCATTTTCGCGGGAGTGGAAAAGCGAAGTTGCTGGAGGAAGCGATGGGCAAAGAGTCTGAGGCCGAAAAGGATTGGAAGGCCATGCGCCAGAAAGATGGCACCATTCCTTTGGCCTGGAAAGTATATCGTGACCGAACAGTCGCTTTGCTGCTTTCAGATTATATAATTTTTATCTATTTTACGCTTTCCCTTGTTGCCCTGTGGGCCATTAAAGGAAAAACCTGAGTAAGTGACCTTACAAGCCGCCGCAAGCCAGCCAGGTGCAATTCAAAGCCAGGCAGATTTACGCCACAGGCCTCACTTTTGTGCGAGAAAGTCATTCGGCCTGGATAAGCCAGAAGTCCCCGCAATCGGCCATGGAGTACGCAGCTGAGCGGGCCGAGCCAAACGGGACCCATCGCCTTTCTGAATTGGCTGCTCTGCTGTCTGACGTGAAGCGCCTACCTGATTTGGGGTTCCCTGACTTGGCTGGTCTCCAAGACATGCCGGAGGAGTTGTTTAGTGAAGCGTCAATGCTCGCCGCTGATTTCGTGGACTTGGTGGTGCAAAGTATGGTGCAGCTAGCCTGGGATACTTCATGGTGGAGCCAGGCCTTCCCGAATGCATTTGCCAGGCTGCTTCATCCAAATACTGAAAGTGTGACTCGTACAGGTGTCAGCTTGTTTCCATTGCTCTGTGAACAACCTTCTAGGCCATTTAAAACGCATCACTGTCTCATTTTTTGCGCACTTGTCGGCCATTTCACTAGTGTTTGTGGTGTGTTTGTATGGAAGGGCAGCGTGTCCTTTGGCTGTTGCCCCCCCAAGGGGATCACGTGAGGTCAAAAACGCCCTGGACGAGTTTCGTTCTACTTGGGCATCTGTCTTCGCGCTTGAGAAGGTCCTGTTGCCTCAAGTGCCTGAGGCTGTGCGGCGTGCTGAGGATGTTGAGTTGCGTCTGACGCTTTCTGGCAGTGAGATGCCTGAGCTGTCCCAACTCTACTGGCTCCTTGAAGGTGTGGCCTGGCAATACGTTCGAGAAGTTGTGGGGCTACTGGAGCATGGAAAGTGGCATCCTGATCAGGTCTTGCAAGACCCCAGGCTGACGAACAAACTCAAGGACTCGTTTGCCGGCCCTTCCAGCACAAAAAGCTGGACCGAGGATGTTTTCAGAGACACCAGGTTTGCGTTCAAGGGGGTCCCAGCTAACAAAGTGACGTCCTGGGGCAGGCAAAGGGCGGCTTTGAACAGCCTATTAGCGCGAGACAAGGCGGGCGGATTCCGTTTTAAAGTCTGTTTCAGGTGAACAGTTGAAAATAGTAAATTGTTTCATGGGTTGGTTGACACTGTCTTGAACTGCTGACGGCGAAGGATAAGATAATGCCTGTGGGGCCGCCGCCGTCTGACGCCTCCATCAGCGCCTACAACCGCTTCCGCAAGAAGAAGCTGATCACCCAGGCAGTTTTTTCACCGCAGACTAATGCCATGAAAGCCAAACGAAGCATGGAGCAGGGCCGGCCGTTTGACGTAGGATACCCTACGCCTGACGTCGATCCCTTGATCGATCTCAATGAGCTGCATGGGCCAAGCCAAAAGAAGAGAAAGCGGCGCAAGACACCTGGCAGTGTTCAGCAAGAGGGCGGGACAGCGGTTGCGACGAATCAAAACGACGATGGTGAGGTTGCAGATCCAACGGAGGGAGGTGCCCGCCTGGAAAATGACGATGGTGAGGTTGCAGATCCAACGGAGGGAGGTGCCCGCCTGGACACCAAATCGCTACTGCTGCTGCCTGCTTCGAAGCTATCCAGCTACATAGCAGCCTCAGCGTGGGCTAGCCTGACGTTTTTTGAACAAGCTATGAGCAAAGGCCAATGGGAGGCATTGGAGACACAGCTTGGAAGGCGCTGGCTTGGGGGCTTGTTGCATGAGGGGCAAGTCTACAGGCTTATGGACCACGCGGGTGGGGAGAAACGGGATGCCGTGTGCCTCGGGTTCTATGGCTACGCGGCCATGTTTTGGGAGGTTAAAGCAGTCGAGGTGACAGCTCGTGGGTTCAAAGTCTTCTCGATGAAGGACACGCGAGATTGGGAGACAAAGAACAAATTATAAGTATAAAGGTTGGCCTAATGAATTCGCAAACCCATGGCACTTGGAATTGGAGACGATGCGTTCACCGACCTAACCCCTTCAGGACTCATCGCCCAAGTCTTTCTTTTGGCGCCAATGCGATGATCTGCTGGAGCACTGCAGGGGCTACTTGACTCGGGTCATTACGCCGCAAACTTAGTGGCCCAGCAAGCATTGACACTGTGTTGTTGGTATCACGTTTACGTCGCCCGAAACGCATTCTAAATAAAGCAGAAATGCATTCAATGCAACTTGCAGATTTTTATTTGCAAGCAGCTTGTGGCCACGCACAAGAGGCATGTGGATAAAGAAGTCTTCAACAGGACCTGCGTACTAAGTACATATAGTTGCTGTTTGCTGCAAGCCCTGCTTGCCGCCATGCTGCTTATTAAGCAAAGTAGCAGTCGTGCGTGAACCTAGCGCTAAAATTTGTGGGTGGGCGCCAAGAAACCTAGGGCAATGACATAATCACAACAGATTCTTGATGGTTTGATTTCTGCAAAGCTACCATACTTGTGTTGCAAGACAATTTTCTTGGCACTCAATCTCCAGTTAGTTCAACCCACATCTTCTAGTCAGGCAGAGCCAGCAGCTTTGTAGCAATCAAACCATCAGGACTCTAATGTAATGCTGTTTTCACGTCTAATCCATGCTGTTTTCAGACTAATTCATGCGGTTTTCTTACACTACCTGTTTTCATAGACTACGGTTTGCCCAGTTCTGCTACCATACATGTGGCCACGAAAATTCTCTGGCGCTCAACCTCAAACTGGTTCAACCTACATCTTCTAGTCAGGCAAGGCCAGCGCAAACTGCCAGAAAAAAGGCTTTGAAAGCCGTGGTTGGTTGTCTGAAAACAGCATGAATTCGACTGAAAAAGGTATGAAAACAGCATCCTTGCAAACATGAAGTGTATGAAAGCAGCATGAATTCGTCTGAAAACAGCATGAATTCGACATGAAACCAACACTATTGAGCATATATGCCGTAGCAAGCCCAATGGGGCTCTGCGCATTGAGCAAAACTTCCCACAACTCCTGCGTGGCCATCGCCCCGGTTTCTGCCAGAAGCTGTATGATCTTAGGGTTGCGCCTTGTTGTTTGCGGCATCCCTTGGTTCAAGGGAAAAGTGGTCAAGTTGCGTGGCCCATCCTTGGCATGACGCCCGGGCCATGGCCTTCAATTGCAAGCGCCCGCCCTGCGCGGCAAAGTAGGAAGAAGTTAGAGCGGCCATGCCCAGAGAGGATTCAGAAAGCCTTGCTGAGACGAATGGCCGTGGCAAAACTTCGCAGGCAGATGACTTACTTGAGAAACTCTGCGTCTTTGAGGCATGCAGCAACTGCTTTTGTGGTGGAAGCGCTTTTAAAAAGAATCTCGTTGAACAACGCCGAGCAAAGGGGCCCCGAGTTCCGGGCATGCCCATGACATGGTAAAATACAAAGCAATCGTTTTTCATTTTTTGACTTGGCATTCAGCGAGGAATGGGGCAGCGCGAAGCTCTTGGCCAAGGTGATTTCCAGATCTTTGCGAAGGCGGATAGGAAAGCCTTCCTCAACTTCTGGATCTGACTGACGGCGACTGACTGGCGGGCCACAGACAATATCAAATAAAGTTACAGTGCATGCAGGCACAGGTCTGAGGCCAGTGAGAAACTTATTTGGCCTAGATCAGCCAACGTCTCTGCGCGTGGCAGTGAACACGCAACAGATGATCGACGGGCAACAATTCAAAAATTAGTTGGTTTACTAGAAGCTGTCTCAAGCTCTAGCGTGAGTTGCACTTGCACGCGTGCAAAGAAGCGCTGCGTGGTCAAGTTGTGTCCTTGTTGTTACGAACACTACCAGGTACAGGTCCAGAACCTATAACGCTGATTTCGGATAGTTTTGGGGGGAACTCAAACACTCTATATTTTTGCGAATAGAATGCCGATTTTCCTTTTCGATTTCGGACTTTTAGGAGACAGTCTCAGCACATGTCACGCAGAGCACATATCTGGAGATCCACAGAAATGCAGCATGGCAACAGGTGTCAGGAACCTCCGTTTGAAAGGCCCTTATGTTTTCAGGTGAGCCTCAAACCTGCGTAGATTCTCAATGTCTACCTGCAAGCAGCCTTGTCTGGTGGTCCTGGACCCTTACTTTTGGCAAAATCTAGAAGCCCAGAAACAGCTACTGACGCGCCTTCTCTTCGTATGTCTACTACTGGACCTTGTTTTACCAGCGCCATACGCAGTACGTTGTACATGGCTTTGGCGAGCGCCGGACCTTTAATTTAGTGTTGGCCTGGGCTTCTTCTTGTCTGGAAACCAAAATAATTAGTGGCTGTGTGCAAGTTTGGACCTTGCAGCGGGATCAAATGTTTGCTAGTGGGGGGATTTATGTTGGGTCTCCCTGGTTTTCTTCCGGCGACGTTGATGGTATGTTTAGCGAAAGTTCGCCTAGAGCCAGAAGACTGAGTGTGACATGTTCTTTTTCTTGCTGCGCTGTTGTCTTCTGAGGCCCCACGTCCTCCCTTCTACAAAGCAAAAGCATGGCCTGACGTGGAGGGTGGCTGCAGAGTATGGCTTGGCCGAGCATGCCGTGCGACTGAAGAGGCCTTTGAAAGCAGAAGTCTGGGACAAACTTTGCCTGGCCGCGCGGCTGCGGCTAATGATTCTAGCTGTTGACAAACACACACACACACTTATCAATCTGTGTACGTAGGATATGCCGCAAGCCACACGGAACCTGGGTTTTCCAAGAACATTTGAGACACCAAGAAAACATGTAAGTGGAAAGGGGTCCGACCGCATCACACCCTTGAACTTCAAGCAAGTTGAGCTGCCAAAACTCAGGATCACGTCCAAGAACGCGATCGACAGGTCGAGCGACAAAGGTGACGGCGGTCAAGTAAGCCAAGTCCACAAAAGGTAAAAATGTCTTGTTGTCGTTAGCAGAAGCAGGTACGTCCAGAAGGCGTCCCTTCCGGATATCACCGCAGTACATGGAGCGTCTTCGTTGAGTGGTGACTCCATGACTGCGCGCGGCACCACTTCCCTGCTGTATCATTAAAAATGCAAAAGCATACACATGAATCCAGTGTTGTCACACGCACACACACTCACACCCAATTCCTGCCCACCTACACTTGCGTGGCTCCTGCTAATGCGGCCCCCAACGCACCCCATTTGCATGTCTGCCAACCCCAACCCTATAGACTGTTTCAAACCCTTCATTGATTTCAGGCTTTGCGCATTGCTTCCACGAGCAGCGGGTGCCACAAAACTTCGTCTGACGGGGTTGCTGCTGTGAAGGCCTTGATTCAGCATTTTGCGCCAGGCGCCTATGGGCGCATTTTGGTTTGGTGGGGTCAATTAGTTAACTAGTTTTTGCCACGGTGTGGGGCGTGTTGGGCGCACGTTTCACTGACCATGCAGGCACTGAGGGGCAAGAGCTGGAAGACTGGGCGCAGTGCTTGCTTCGCCAAAGGAAGCGGCGGACTGGGTCTGACGCGGTGCTCTCCAAAGTGGTGGAATTCATGTCAGAGCATGACAAGGAATCATTTCGACGCCTTGATGAGGAGATTCAAGCATTGACCCTGCAGCCGGCGCCTCTGGCGAACGAGCCGGTCAAGCCTGATGTTGCGGAGCGGACTAGGCAGAACGTCACACCAGCAAAGTACCGCGCAGCTTGGCGCGCCCTATGTTTTGAATATCTTTGCTTTGCGCCCTGTAAAGAGTCTTTTTCTGTGTTCCCAGGCTGGCTGATGTTGGACTCATGTTAAGCGGAGCATTTGGCCAAGCCAAGGCATTGTTGCCAGGCCAAGGGCTGCTCCCCTCATCTGTTTGCTACATGACAGTGGTACCTCTGTCTGACGCAGCTGCGCGTGCACCTGTTGATTCCGATGAGGAGATTCTGGAGACGTCTGACGTCAGGCGGTCAGCCTCTGGACCGGTCATGGTCATGCAAGGGTTTTACAAGAACCCGGGTCTGAAGCAGTCGCGCTCAGCACGCTTTGGCGGCCCGTTTCCCAGGTCTGAGGAGGAGGCATTGGGCATCGTATTGTCCTGGATGGAACTACAACACTCGCAGGCCTCTGAACGTGCCAGGATTGGAGTGGGATCACGTTGTTTGGGCCCCCTCACCTTTTTACTACGCTTTCTGTTTTAAACATGCACATCCACTTTATCTTCATTGTCTAGCGAGTGAGCGAGCCCATGACTATTCCAGAGGACCGGGCACGATGATGACGAGCCTCAGGTGGCGGCCATTGGCGATGTTGAGGCGTCTGAGGGGAGGGGGCGGAAGGGCAAGCGAAAGCAGGATGCGCCTCCAGAGGACGGAAGCAAGGCGAAGAAAAAGAAGCCCGAGAAGCTGGAACCGGCTGTCGCTGGCGCTGCCAAAAGGACACCCACCCCCCAAACACGCCTAAAAAGATTCGACGGTCGATAGCGAACGAGTTTTTCATTTTTCGATGTAGGCTGTAATTCGTCTACTATCTGATTCTTTTTTAAACCTGTGTATCATTGCTTTTATTCTCAGACCTTTGATCACAGTTGTCGCTTTGGTCTAGTCACTAACTAGTCCAGGAAGACCTCGAAGCCTGCGGTGCCCGGTGAGAAGCCCTTGCGACAACCCCTGTCACCTGGCTTGAAGAAGCGGGAAGCGGAGAAGGAGCAGAAAGAGATAGCTCTCAAGATGCTGGTCTTCAATCAGCTAGCGCAAGATTTTCCCGGTTTCTCCACCAAAAAAATTTTGCGTGGGCACTTCGCGCCTGTGTGCGTGTACTCAGGAGGATACAGCGAGAGCTTCAAAATCTGCTTGACAGTGGCATGGCCCCTTCGCCAGCTGAGGAGGAGGCTCGCCAGAGAGCCATTACTGCAAAAAGAGATGCTCAGCCTTTGCCTGCTTAAAAAGATTTGGTTTTCGACCACCAAACATGTGAACACCCACCTGACCATTAGACGGTTTCATCCCACAGGACTCCGGAGACACTTTTTGTTGC